ATCTTCACTCTACCAACTGAGCCACTGCCGCAGCCCTCCATGGATGCTCGGCAAAGGAATGTTCTTTCTCTGTAATACCGACCGGCTCTCCTCATGCTCTAGCTGGCTTCACACCATCCTGCAGGGACGGGGGAGGGGAATGCCATTTTTCCATTTCCCTGGTGTTTGCCCCGACCCCTCAATCCGGTCAGTTGCTGTCTGTGGTCCTGATGTGGTGGCTCTGTCCTTGGTGCTGACTCTGGGACTTCATTTCTGTAACACCAGGGAGGGTGGGAACATCTTGGGGGAGGGGCAAGGTCCTGTGTTAGATGCAAACATTGAATCACTTGTGTCTCTGAGGGAAGACAGACATATGAGTGTGAAGGGGAGGGCTTCACAGGCCCCTGTGATCACCAGAGGGTCCACTGTGTATGTTACCTGTCTATGTACACAAGCAATCGTGTGTGTGTGTGTGTATGTGTGTGTGTGTGTGTGGTGTGCCTGTGTGTGTCATGTGTGTCTCTGTGTGTGTGTGTGTATGTGCCACCCTGCCCCAAGACATCGAGACCCATGAGTTCTCATGATTCTTATGTAACATGTCAGTGTTAGCATTTAATCTATGAACACTGTTCCTCCTCGTCATCTTCTCATTCATCGGTCCATCCATTTTTAATAGATATGCACATGTGTTAGCCTGCGTGCAGGAATGTGACTGTGTGTTCACGTGTGTAACCATGTGTGTGGAGGCTAAAGATCAAACTTGTGTGTCATTCCTTAGGGGCCAAATATTTTAGTTTTCTTTACTGTGTGTGTGTTTACATGGACAGGTCAGAGGACACCTTGCAGGCGATGTTTCTTTCTTGTAAGACCTAAGACTTGTTGGCAGTCACCTTTATCCATGAGTCATCTCACCAATGCAACTTTTGTTTTCTGAGATGTTGTCCTGCTCATGGACTCACCAAGTAGGCTCGTCTGCCTGGCCATTGAGCACCCAGGAACTGCCTGTCTCCACCTCCACAGTGCTGGGATTATAAATGTGTGCCATCATGCTGACTTCCTCCTCCTCCTCCTCCTCCTCCTTCTTCATCTCCGCCTCCTTCTTCTTGCATAAGTACTTCAGGTCCTTGTGGGTGCAAAGAAAACACTTTACCAACTGAGCTATCGCTCTGGCCCTAATTAATTCATTTTAAAGATATGTAGCCTGGAGCGGCTGAGATATTTCTGCAGGTAAAGGCACTTGCCACCAAGTCTGGTGAGCTGTGTTCAACCCCTGGGACTCACATATTGGAATGAGGCAGCCAATTAACCACACATTGTCATCACCTCCACCCTATGAAATAAATAGATGAATGTCAGTAAAATTTAAAAGAAAATAGATAGGTTGCAGGTTTTTCTTTAACTCTTTGGGGGCCCACCACCCAGCTCCCAAATAAATTTACAGAAACTTATTCTTACTTATGAATGCCCAGCCTTAGCTTGGCTTGTTTCTAGCCAGCTTTTCTAACTTAACTTATCCCATTTCTCTGTATTTTGCCTCTCGGTTTTTTATCTTTATTTATTCTATATATCTTTCTTTCCTTTTTATTCTGTGGCTGGCTGGGTGGCGGGGCGGGGGGGTTGGTCTCTGGCATCCTCCTCTCCTTCTCCTTTTCTCATTCCTCCCCCTTCACTCTCAAGCCTAGATTTCTCCTCTTATTTATTCTCTCTGCCTGCCAGCCCCACCTATCCTTTCTCCTGCCTTGCTATTGGCTGTTCAGTTCTTTATTAGACCAATCAGGTGTTTTAGACGGGCAAAGTAACACAGCTTTATAGAGTTAAACAAATGCAACATAAAAGAATACAGCACATCTTTGCATCATTAAACAAATGTTCCACAGCATAAATGAATGCAACACATCTTAAACTAATATTCCACAATAGTAGGTCGCTTAGGCTAGCCTCAAACCCATGATACTCCCTTTTTGAGACAGCATCTTGTCGTGTAGCCTAGGCTTGCTTTAAGCTCATGGGTGATCTTGCCTCAGCCTTTGAGGTTACAGGTGTCCACCACCACAGTAGGCTCTGACATCATTAACATAGCTATTATTTAAGATTTATTTTTTAATGTGTCCTTGTGATTGTAGTACCTATAGCAGCCACAAGAGGGCATCAGATCCCCTGGAGGTGGAGTTACAAGCTTTGCAAGCTGATGTGGGTGCTGGGAACCAAACTTAGGTCCTATGAGACAGCAGCAAGCACTCTCAATTGCCCAGCCATCTCTCCAGGCCCTATTAATATTTTGACAATATTATTATTATTTAACCCAGGGCCTTACGCTTGCTAGGCAGGTGCTCTACCACTGAGCTAAATCCCCAAACCCAACAATATTATTCTTAAGGACTCGTGTCCCATGTGCAGAAAACACACAGCGTGTAGAGATTCACACTCAGGAGCTGGAGGCAAGAGGGTTAGGCATTCAAGGCCATCCTTAGCTACATATCGAGTTTGAGGTCAGCCTGGGCTGCATGAGACCTCGTCTCAAAAGAGGTACAAAGCTCAATGGCGTGGCTATCTAAATAAAACCTGAACACTTTCAACAGCGTATGGGACAGACCTCCTAACGTGGGTGGGGGACTCTCATAAGTCCCCCCGCAACTGGAGACTAACAGCTGCTCAGAAGAGGAGACTTGACCTTCCGAGGGACGACCCCCCCACTGGTTACTCAATACCAAGTGGTGAACCCTGGAAACATGCACACAGCAACGCTGAAGGGACTCGGATGGTTTTAATTATACATTTATTCATTTATATGTATATGCAACCACGATGTTGAAAGAACAGGAGGCCCTGTGATTTTGGGAAAGACATGGGAGGGGTAGAAGGGACTAGAGGGGGGTGGGAAATGATGTAATTATTTTTAATTAAATGTACACTATAATAAAAATTTTTTTCAAGACAGGATTTCTCTGCACAGCCCTGGCTGTCCTGGAACTAACTGTAAACCCGGCTGGCCTCGAACTCACAGAGATCCACCTGCCTCTGCCTCCGGAGTGCTGGGATTAAAGGCGTGTGCCACCACTGGTTTTAAAAAGACACAAAGGGCCACTTTGGAAGAAGAATAGCCAGTGGACCCCCTAGCCTTCGCCACTCCGAGAGGGTACAGCCTTTCTGCAGGATCCCATGCAGGGCTGTCAGCTTCACACACACACACACACACACACACACACACACACACACCCGCCTCCACAGGAGAACTCTGCGTTCAAGCAAAGAGCCGGCTCCACCGGCTGTAGGAGGAGACAGAGAATGCTCGTTGACACACGATATTTCTAGGCCCTTCAGGGCCAACCCACCCTTTCCTTGCTCATCTTCCTCACCTTCGTATATTAATACATCCCAACTCTTTAACTTCATTTTCTAAATTGTATTTTTTTTCTCGTGTAGGTGTGTGCATGTGTGTAGGTGACATGGCGCGTGTGTGGAGGTCAGAGGCCAACTTTGGGGAGTGTATTCTCTCCTTCCACCTTGTCAGATCCAGGGATTGAACTCAGGTCGTTAGAATTTTGTGGCAAGCATGTTTATTCACTGAGCCATCTTACTGGCCCTATCCTGGCTCTGGGCAAGTGGTCCCAAAACCCCCTCTCTTACTGCTTTGCCTCATAGGCTTCTTCTCCGCCATCCATGCCCATCAACTGTCCCTCAGGTTCCCATCTGGACTTGCCTTACTGGATCATACTCCTTTCGCTTGTTTTATTTTCAGACAAGGTCTTATGTAGCTCAGGCTAGGCATTGTGGATCAGAGGATATAGCTCAGGCTAGACATTTTGGATCAGAGGATGTAGCTCAGGCTAGACATTGTGGATCAGAGGATGTAGCTCAGGCTAGACATTATATATCAGAGGTAGACAGTGAATTCCCGATTCCCGTCCTCCACCTCTAGAGAGCTGGGATAAGGGTTGTGCCCCCTCCCACATCTGACTCACAGCCCAGTTTCTCCATCCATGAGCCTCCAGGTTTGTGACTGTATCTTTCCAGATCAGGAGGGTAGGGTGGGCCTGACTAATTGCTGGGGCCGGGAACACACCAGCCCAGAAGAACAGGTTCCAGATGGCTGCCGGATGCCTCTTCCTGCCCCTCAGTTCCTTATTCCCTCCCTGCCCTGTGTTCTTGCCGTCCGAGTGCTTCGTGAGTCTTTAGCATAGGCTGGAATGCTCCTTCCACTGCGCCCTACTGGCAAACTCCTCCTCATCCCTCAGGACCTGGTCGCCTCCAATGCTGTGACTGTCGACCCGACAGGAGCTAGAATCACCTAGGAGACACACTTCTGGGCACATCTGTGAGGGAGGTTCCATGTTGAGTTAACTGAGAGGCGAAGGGCGACCTTAACTGTAGGTGACACAGTCCACACAGAGCAGGAGGGGAGTGAGCCGAGCATCAGCATCCACTGCTCCGGTTCCTGACTATGGACACCAAGTGACCGGCCACCACCCGCTCTTGTCACCGTGACTTCTCCGTTCCTGGGGCTGATGAGTGGTGGCTGTAAGATGAAATAAACCCTTTTCTCCCCAGGTCACTCCCCTCCACCCCCGTTTTTCAAGAAAAGGTTTCTCCGTGTAGCCCTGACTGTCCTGGAACTCTCTCTGTAGCCCAGGCTGACCTCAAACCCACAGAGATCCACCTGTCCCTGCCTCCCCAGTGCTGGGATTAAAGCCGCATGCCATCACCCCCCCCCCGGGTAATTTTTAGATTTTTAGACAGAATCCCACCACTAAGTTACTCATGCTGACCTTGAACTCAAGATCCCCTTATGCCAGCTTCCCAGTGGGTTCATCACCTCATCTGGCTCAATCCTTGCTGTTTAATGTTTAATGCTGCCTCAAACTCCAAAGCTGGTGTGAGAAGGCAGAGCTCGAACTCTCCCCTCTGCTCAGTTTAAACAGATCATGTTAAGAAAGGGGTGGGCTTGGTCCTCCCCCCACATCCCCCTCATCTGCCCCTTTCCCATCAAGGAAGTCTGCACATTTTTAAAACCTTTTATTGCAAATAATATACACGTGGAAAGATGAGAAAGGGCAGATATGATGGCTTGACTCTGTCATCCCAGCGTCTGGCAGGTCGAGGTAGGAGGACCAGGAATTCAGGGTCATCCTAGGCTATGCAATGAGTTTGAGGCCAGCCTGGGCTACTTGAGACCTTTTTCCAAAACAACAACAGAAAGTTTAGTGAAAAGTGCAAAAAATGGGTCAGTGAGTTCTTAGATCCCATAACTCAATGTCTTGACCTCCAAACACCTCAAATTCCCTCTTCTGGTCACTTGTCCCCAAAGATAATCACTGGCTGCTAATGGCACGCACTAATTTTTAACCAACATTTATACTTTGTTCTGAATGGAATCATATAACCTGTTCTATGGTGTGTCTTTACTATTTTGCTCAACACCACTTTTGCGAGATTCTTCCAAGGCCACGGCAGGTAACCGTCAACTGCCATTTTTCATTGCTGTGTAGTACTCCATTGTGTGACTGGATCATAACCTCCTCATGCCATTTGGCTGTTCAGACTTATTTGTGTTGTTTTCAGTTTGTGGCTACTATGAACTGTCCTACCAGTCTACATAGTTTGGGGGAGCGTATGAACCAATTTCTCTTGAGGTGGTACACCCAAGAGTGGGACTGCTGGGGTGTAGTGTGGATGCCAGTTCTGTTTTAGAGACACTGAAAAGCAGGGGTTTTGTCCCCCCCTTCCTTTCTTTTGAAACAGGGTCTCACTGTGTAGTCTTGGCTGTCCCGGAACTCACTGTGTAGACCAGGTTGAGCTCAAACTCAAAGATCCGCGTACATCTGCCTCCAGAGTGCTGAGATTAAAGGTGTGAGCCACCACTGCCTGACAGGGTCTCACAGTGTAGCCCAAGGCTGGACCTCAACTTGCAGTGTAGTCCAGCTTGGCCTTGAAGTAGTGATCCTCCTGCCTCAGCCCCTTGGGTGCTGGGATTGCCACCAACCACCCTTGTGAGAAATGGGTTTGTAAGGTGAGTGGTGTGATTTGGCTGCGAGGTATCACAAAAGGCTCACGTGTTGAAGGCATGATGGGCAGGGGTGGATTTTGAGGGGCCTCACTCAATGCACTGATTAGTTCCCAGATAAACGCGCCTTCAGGAGGTGGGACCAGTGGGGCCAGGAAGGATGGGTAGAGGGGTGAAGGTTGTGGCTGGGGGGACGGGAGTGAGGCTCTTATTTTGACGCCATCTTTAAAAAGGGAGCCCACCCACACTAGGGGCTGGAGTGGTGAGAAGCGAGGCAATGCTGGAGGCGCTGTCTACGCGGTGAGCCCAAGGGGGCCCCCCAGAGCGATGGCCAGTAGTGGAGCCACAAGCAGCAGGGTCAGGATTCGGGGAGCCCGGGGAGGGGCCGGGGACGTGACGCCGGGGAGGGTCTGTGTCACCGAGTCCTTGTTGCAGAGGTGGCCCTCGCAGCAGTAGCCCTGAAGGTCGATGGACGTCCAGGGGCTGATGGTGCCCATGGTGGTGCAGGACGGCCGGTGGCAGGTCCGGATGTACACGGGCACCGAGAAGTTGCCTGGGTGGACAGGGAGGAGGGGTCAGGCCGCGGGAGGGGCCTCCCTGGAGCTCTGCCTTTGCAGGCAGGGGCGGGCCTGCATCCTCTGACACATCTCAGGTCCCTCAGAGGGCAGACGTGCCTCCTCCCTCAGACCAGAGCCACACCCCCTCCTTCACGGTACTACAGGCCTCCTCTCTCAGTCTACAACAGGCCTTTAGATCAGAGCCATGCCTCCTTTAAATCACCGCCATGTCTTCTTCCATGGACTACACCCGAGCCTCCTGCCTCAGACCAAGGCCACAGAGAACATGCCTCTCCGGTGCCTCTGCCCTCAGGCCTTCCGCGCCTCCACATTTCTATCCCAGGCCATCCCACTATTCCAGCCCCTCACCAATGTTCATCTGGCCGTTGCCCTGGAAACAGACGCTCTGGTCCTGGTGGCACTGGACTCGTCGGGACCTCTCAGGGGAGCAGTCTTCGGGGCGGGTCCCCAAGCAGGCATAGCACTCGGTGCCACTGAGCGTCGGCGGGTCAGGTGCTTGTAGAAAACAGTAGATAGGTGAGACCATTGCTCCAGGCTGGCAGCGCCGGCTGCGCATTGCAACCGCTCATGCAGAAGAGGAGTCGGGCAACCTACAGCCTGAGTAGCGCCCGGCGGAGGCCCCGCCCCAGACCTCTCCAGCCCCGCCCTCACCTCTAGCCCCTCCCCCGCACCTCAAGCCCCGCCCCTGCACTCTGCAGCCCCGCCCCCATCCCTCCAGTCTCCTTCTCACCTCCAGCCCCGCCCTCTCTCAAGCCCACCCCCGTCTCTCCAGTCCCGCCCCCATCCCTCCAGCCCCGCCCCGCTCTCCCAAGCCCCGCCCCGTCTCTCCAGCCCCGCCCCATCCCTCCCGCCCCGCTCTCTCAAGCCCCGCCCCGTCTCTCAAGCCCCGCCCCCAGGCACACCTTGGCTCAGGTTGGGGAGGCTATCGTGGTTCTTGAGTTGGGTGTTGCAGAAGTCTGTTGCGCAGCCGCGGACCACCGCGTAGTCCGGAGGCAGCGCATCCTGGTTGGACTGCATGGGGCCGGTGGTGGGGCCGGTCCAGCATCCCTTCCGGACAATTGTCACCAGGGAGCGGTACCCTGGGGAGAGCACCAGGCTGGAATGAACTCTCCCTCCCGCCTCCTGCCTGTCTCCTCTCACTCAGTTGTGCCTTCTGCTACCTTGTTTTGTTTCTCTTTAACTTTTCTTTCTATTTTTGAGACAGGGTCTCCTGGAGCCCAGGCTAGCCTCCGACTATGTTCTCAAGGATGACCCAGAATATCTGTTCCTCCTGCGTCTCCTTCCCGAGTGCTGGGATTATGGCTTGTGCCAGCCTGTCCAGCCTGTCCAGTGTCCATTTCCTGCCTCCCTCTTCTCTGTCCCTCCCTCATCTCTTGTCCTCCTTCATTTCATGCCTCTCATTTACCCTCTCCCTTCTCTTCTTCCCTCCCTTCCTCTCCCCTCCCCTCCCCCCTTCCCTCCCTTCTCTCCCCTCAGTTCTCTCCTCTCCCTCGGTCTCTGTTGTTTTTAAAGATTTTATTAATTTTAGTTTGTATGTAGCACACATGCAGTGCTCACTGAGGCCAGAGGAGGGCGTTAGATCACCTGGAACTGGAGTTACAGCGCTGTGCAAGCTGCGATCTAAGAGCTGGAAACCAAACCTGGGCCGCCTAGAAGAGCGGCCAGTGCTCTTCACCACTGAGCCATCTCACCAGCCCTGTTTTGTTTGTTTTTCTGAGACAGGGTTTCATACAGCTCTGGGCTGGCCTAAAGCTTGCTCTGCCGCCAAGGATGACCTTGAACTTGTGATCCTCCTGCCTCCGCCTTCCAAGGATTGGACGGGCTTGGATTAGAGACTTGTGCCATCATGCCTGTTTCTCTCTTTCCCTCCGACCAGGTCTTGCCATGTAGCCCAGGCTGGCTGCAAACACGCAGTGCTCCTGGATCTACCTCCAGAGTGCCAGGATCCCAGGCGTGAATGCCCATGCTCAGCCTCCTCCCGCGTCCCCACTCTCCTCCCTCCACTCTCTGTCGTCTCTTTATCTCCACGGCTGCACACGCTCTTGCAGCCCTCAGGTCCTCACCAGTATCCAGCAACAGCATCGCCTCAGAGCACCCCTGGGGGCAGGAGACACTGGGAAATGTCATGGCGCTGAGGTCGAAGGGCCCGAAGTAGGTGTGCTCGAAGCTGTAGCACTGTAGGGCTTGGGAGCCTAGGAGAGGGATGGGGTGTGTTAGCAGGTCGGGGGGAACCTGGGGCTCCACACAGTATGGGACAGACACACACCAGGCTTCTGTGTCTCATGTCACCATGAGACAGCAGTGTCTCACCAAGTGCCACCATGGTCCTCGAAGACCTCAGTCACTTGCATAAGGGGCTGAAGTGATTTCCATGCTCTGCCCATCCCCCAAATGGTCTACACCCCGCGGTCGGAGGAGTGCAGTCTCACACAGTCACAGCCAGCTCAGCAACGCAATTGAATGCATGCAGAGCAGCTTGGATGCAGCCCCGTGTTCCCCGAGACCCCACTAGGATGGACGTGTCAACAAAGCCACTTAGGGGGGGACCACCTCACTCACAAGCTCTGGTGTCTGTATTTTGCATGTGTCATAACAATGACAGAGGATCAAGGGACACAGAAGCTGAGAGAGGGCCAGCAAGTTGGCTCAGCCAGTAAAGTGCTTGCCACCAAAACGGACCATCTGAGTTCGAGCCCCAGGACCCACGTGATGGAAGGAGAGCATCAACTCCGGCAAGCTGTCCTCTGACCTCCACATGTGAGCTGTGGAATGTTCCCGTGCGCGCGCGCGCACACACACACACACACACACACACACACACACACACAGACAGAGAGAGATGACATAACTTTTTTTTGGTTTTTCGAGACAGGATTTCTCTGTGTAGCTTTGCGCCTTTCCTGGATCTCACTCTGTAGACCAGGCTGGCCTCGAACTCACAGAGACCCGCCTGTCTCTGCCTCCCGAGTGCTGGGATTAAAGGCATGCGCCACCACCGCCCGGCAACATAACTTTTTTTTTTTTTTTTTTTTTTTAAGAAGCTGAAAGTTGTGGAAGAGAAAAATCACACACACCAAAAGAGAGCACAATTATGCAGTTAGAAATGACACCATCTGCCAGCTAGTGGTGGCACACGCCTTTAGTTCCAGCCCTCGGGAGGCAGAGGCAGAAGGATCTCTGAGTTCAAGGCCAGCCTGGTCTACAGAGGGAGTTCCAGGACAGCCAGGGCTACACAGAGAAACCCTGTCTCTAAAAAACCAAACAAACAGACAAAAAGAAAGAGATGGCATCATAGACTGGGAAGCTGACTGGGGGTGGTGGTGAAGCTTGTCCTCTAGTGTGAGGGATAGGGTTAGACCCCAGGCGTGGCAGCCCACCTGTCACCCTAGTGTGAGGGAGGCAGAGAGAGTCGATCCCAGAACAATCGAGCCAGCTGGACTAGATCAACAATGAGGGCTGGGTTCAAATGAGACCCTTCCTGGACTTGGCGGAGAGAGATGGAGGAAGATGCCGGTGTCAACCTCAGACCTCCACACACACGTGCATACACACTGCACACATACACACGGCAAAACGAATGAGGAAAATAAATGATCCCATCGAAGTAGTTTAAAATCATATAATGGAAACACTATACAGACATGTAATCCACAGAGATAGCACAGCAACAGTGGACATGTGTGTGCAAAATTACACACACATCTTTTTTTCTTTTCAAAGAAAGCGAAGGAGAGAAACTGACCCTCAAAGAAATATTTTTGTTGTTGTTGGTTTTTTTTTTTTTTTTTTTTTTTTTTTTGAGACAGTCTCATGTAGCTTAGGCTGGCCTAGAACTCACAATTCAGCTGAGGCTGGCCAGGTGTTAGGATTACAGTCCTGCACCACCATACAAAAACATTTAAAAATTTGAAATTGTTGTTGATCATGGTGGCGCATGCCTTTAATCCCAGCACTCAGTAGGCAGAGACAGGTGGATCTCTGTGAGTTTGAGGCCAGCCTGGTCTACATTGAAAGCTTCAGGCCAGCCAGGGCTACACAGTGAGACCCTGTCTCAACATTTTTTCTATTACATTTTATTTATAGTGCTGTGGAGGGGGAACATGAGTGTGCCCCACCCAGTGCGGAGGTCAGAGGACCAGTTTTAGGAGTCAATTCTCCTTTTTCACCGTGTCGGTCCTAGGGATCAAACTTGGATTGTCAGGCTTGGTGGCAAGCACCTTGGAGCCATCTTGCCAGCCCCAAAGTGCAAGCGCCTGTACATACACACACACACACACACACACACACACACACACACACACACACACACTTAGATATTGACATCTGGTACAGAGAAGCACACGAGGTTGCTAACACAGACACATGTACAGACACCTGTTTCCCGAGGTGAGCAGAGGCTCACAAATTAAGCCTCGTGTGGGAAGGGTTTGCTTAATATCTTCCTAACTCTCCCCTCAGGACCCATTCATGCTCAAGTGAGTAAGTCCTGCATGACAGAGGGTCCAAAGATGGAGTTAAGGTCCTTGCCAGCTCCAGGGAGAGCCCCGATAGCTCCCCAGAAATCCCTTCAGTGAGGGGCTGGGAGGGAGAGGAAGGAAGACCCAGTGTCAGAGGAGATGACAATGTGGGGATGCAGAGGGGATGAGAAGGGAAGCACACATGCTCTCCCCCATCCCAAGATTGGAGAGGACAAGCCTCTAGCCCTCCTCCCTCAGACACAGGGTCCAGACCCAGCCCTCCTCCCTCAGACCCAGGGGTCCAGGCCCAGCCCTGCTCCCTCAGACTCAGAGGTCCAGCCCCAACCCTCCTTCCTCAGACCCAGGGGTCCAGGCCCAGCCTCCTCCTTCAGACCCAGGGATCCAGGCCCAGCCCTCCTCCCTCAGACCCAGGGATCCAGGCCCAGCTCTCCTCCCTCACACCCAGGGATCCAGACCCCAGACTTCCTCCCTCAGACACAGGGATCCAGGCCCAGCCCTCCTCCCTCAGACCCAGGGGTCTAGACCCAGACCTCCTCCCTCAGACACAGGGATCCAGGACCAGCCCTGCTCCCTCAGACCCAGGGATCCAGGCCCAGCCCTCCTTCCTCAGACACAGGGGTCTAGACCCCAGACCTCCTTCCTCAGACCTGGGGTGCAGGCCCAGCAGCCCTCCTCCCTCAGACACAGGGGTCTAGGCCCAGGCCTCCTCCCTCAGACCCAAGAATGCTGGCTCTGGTCGTTCTTCCTATCAGACTCAGCGCAGGTGGGTACCTGTCAGGCAGAGCCCGATGCCGAGGAGGCTGAGCAGGAAGGTCTTGGGGATGCCCATGGCAGCCTGCGGAGCTGAGATGTGACACCGAGGACAACTCCTTCCACTCTGGCTTGCTGTCAGGCGGGTTTTCCCTGTTGATCCCCAGGCAACCCGGCCACCCAGCCCGGCCAGGATTCCAGATTCCTCCACCCCGCCCTTCCGCCCTCCTTCACGTGGGCTGCCTCCTTCTAGGTAATCATGGTGGGGCCACTGGAATAAGGGGGTGGGTACTCAGGCTCCCAGCCCCGAGGGAGGCATTAGGGGCCTGGAACCTGGATTTGGGGGTGGGTGATTCGTACTTCGCTGGTCTGTATCCTCCTCGCTACATTCTGTGCTGGTCTGCAGATGGTACCCCGATTCCTGTCCCCCACTCCTTCACTCCAGCACTCAGCACCCACACAGACACAGGCTTGGAATCCGAGAATCGAATCTCCAGGCGAGAGAGACACCCAGCCATCCTCTTCTCCTGACTCTACCGGCTCTCTTCAGTCTCCAGCATCTTCCCGCTGTACTCCCTCCCTCCTGACTGTTCTGATCACACAGGATGATGGGCTGCTGTTTCTCTCTCACCTTGGACTGGGGACACCTCTGCAGCCTCTAGGGATGTTTGTGACAATGAACGGATCACTGGATGGATGGATGGATGGATGGATGGATGGATGGATGGATGGATGGATGGATGGACAGGTGGATGGACAGGTGGATGGATGGGTGGGTGGATGGATGGATGAATGGGTGGATGGATGGGTGGATAGGTGGATGGATGAATGGGTGGATGGGTGGATGGATGGATGGGTGGATAGGTGGATGGATGGATGGGTGGATGGATGGATGGATGGATGGATGGATGGATGGATGGGTGGATGGGTGGATGGATGGATGGATGGATGGGTGGATGGGTGGATAGGTGGATGGATGGATGGGTGGATGGATGGATGGATGGATGGATGGATGGGTGGATGGGTGGATAGGTGGATGGGTGGATGGGTGGATAGGTGGATGGATAAATGGGGGGATGGGGGATGGATGAATGGATGGATAGGTGGGTGGATGGATGGATGGATGGATGGATGGGTGGATGAATGGGTGGATGGATGGATGGGTGGATGGGTGGATGGGTGGATGGATGGGTGGATGGATGGGTGGATGGGTGGATGGATGGATGGATGGGTGGATGGGTGGATGGATGGATGGATGGGTGGATGGATGGATGGGTGGATGGGGGGATGGATGGATGGATGGGTGGATGGATGAATGGATGGATGGATGGATGGATGGATGGATGGATGGATAGATGGATGGATTGGTGAATGGGTGGGTGGATGAATGGATGGATGGATGGATGGATGGATGGATGAATGGATGGATGGATGGATTGGTGAATGGGTGGATGGGTGGGTGGATGGATGGATGGGTGGATAGATGGATGGATTGGTGAATGGGTGGATGAATGGGTGGATGGATGGATGAATTGGTAGAGGAGCGGGTGAGTATCAAGAAAGGGAGAGAAATAAAAATGGTCACACATGAGATGCAGAATGACAGGTTAGGGCTGTGGTTCAGCTGGTAGAGTACTTGCCAGGCATTCAAGAAGTCCCAGGTTCGGGCCCCAGCACTGTATAAAACTGGACATGATGTCCCCAAGGCCAGGCTGGGATACATGAGATATTGTCTTAAAGAAATAGTAAATAGATAGTAAATAGATACAGAAGCCTTGTCAGGATGGCTCAGCAGGTCAAGGTGCTTGCCACCAAGGCTGAAGACCCACATGGTGTAAGGAGAGAGGCAATGCCCACAAGTTGTCCTCTGACAAGGCGCACACCCCACCACACACACCGTCGAGATGAATAAGTAATTCTAAGTTAAAAAGAGATACAGGAAGACACAATCCGGTGTGGGCAGATGTCAGTGTGGACTCACAGACAAACTCAGAGGTGAAGAGAGACACCCTAGTAGACAGGATGTGCCCACAGAAGGTGCTGGTAAATGTTAATTAAGTAAATGGAGTCCCGCCGGCTTCCACAATACCTGTACTTAAACTGATGGAGATCTGATAGCCCAAGGTTTGTTTGGGAAAGTTCCTGACTTAGAGACCGAGGCAGGGGTGGGGGCGGGGCTGACAAATCAGACAGTTCGGACACCTTCATCTCTTTCCGGGATGGTGAAGGCGGAGCTGTCCCGCGGGGCGGGGCGGGGCGGGGCGGAGTGGCGCAGCCCATCATTCCAACGCTCAGGGGGAGGCAGGAGAATTTAAGGTCATGCTGGCTACCCAGGGAGTTCAAAGCCAGCCTGTACCTCAGGGGACTCTGTCTCAAAACACAAACGAAAAGCCTGGGGCTGGGGAGGCAGGCTGGTCTATGAAGCGCCCGCCGTGCAGGTATGAACTCCACCATCTACGCACTTGCTTTAAAAAGACACAGCAGCTTGGTTCTGGGACCCAGCGCCCGGACAGCCAGAGGCAGGGGGATCCCTGATGCTCGCAGGGCGGCCGACCTAGCTGACTGAGTGAGGTCCAGGTTCAGTGAGAGACCTGACTCAAGACATAAGATGAAAGGAGGTGCCCCACCTCTTCCAGACGCCTTTTTCCACAGGCACACACACACGTGCCCACATGCACACATACATATATCACACATGCCATACCCTCTACCCTCCACTCCCTCCACACACACGAGGCTATGTGGGGTTTTTGTTTCATTCATTCATTCATTCATTCATTCATTCATTCATTCATTCATTCACTTAATGTAGGTGAGCGTTTGCTTTCACTGTGTGCATTCAGTGTCTGGAGACAAGAAAAGGGTGTCAAGTCTCCTGGAACTGGACTTACAGAGGGTTGTGAGCTGCCATGGGGATGCTGGGAATCAAACCCCGGTCCTCTGGAAGAGTAGGCAGTGTTCTTAACCACTGAGCCATCTCTCCAAACCTGACCTTGTGTTTTTAAAGATTTATTTATTTATTTTTGTCTGGGTGAGCATAAGCCACGTGTGTGTAGATACCAAAGGAGGCCAAGAGAGGGCGCCAGATCCCCTGGAGCTGGAGTTACAGGCAGTTGTGGGAGCTGGGAACTGAACTTGGGTCCTCTGCAAGAGCAGTATGAGCTCTTTGTTTGTTTGTTTGTTTTTTGAGACAAACAAACAGAGTTTCTCTGTGTAGCCCTGGCTGTCCTGGAACTCACTCTGTAGACCAGGCTGGCCTCCAACTCAGATTCATCTGCCTCTGCCTCCCAAGTGCTGGGATTGAAGGCGTGCGCCACCACCATCACACCCAGCCACAGTGTGAGCTCTTAACCACTGAGTCATCTCTCCAGCCCCACAAAAGCTTGTAATTTCAATTTCTGTCCCGGCCCCTTTGAAGGGAAGGTGAATCTTCCATTGGCCTCTGACTGTGAATGTTTCTCTGTCTTTGAAATGCCGTCATCAGGGGAGATAGTGCCCTTATCTGCCAGTCTCTGTACGGGGTGAGATGCTGGCACTGATAAGCCACAGTGAGCAGGCATAGTCAGCCTAATCAGAGAGAGAACTTTCTGCAGTCTCAGGAAAAACTCCGTGGACTCAGCAGATCTCCTGGAGCAAGCTCCATTGGCATCTTCCAGCAGCTTCTGCTGCTAAAAATCCTCCCGCTTTTCATTGCTCAGGCGCTGAGTTTAATCCTAATTTGGGGCAAGAATATTGAAAAAGATTTCCTTTAAAACAAACAAAAAAAACAAAAACAAAAACAAACAAACAAACAAACAAAAACAAAAACAAACAAACAAACAAACAAAAAACAAAAACAAACAAACAAACAAACAAACAAAAACAGGGACTCACTATGTAGCCCAGGTTGGCCTGGAAACTCCATGTGTATGTAGACCAGGCTGGCCTCGAACTCACAGAGATCCACTGCTTCCAGAGTGCTGGGATTAAAGGTGTGTGCAGCCACACTGGATAGACATTTTTGTGTCGTCTATTTACTGTGTGTGTGTGTGCGCGCGCGCGCGTGTGTGTGTGTGTGTGTGTGTGTGTGTGTGTGTGCATTTGTGCGCATGAGCTCAGAGGAAGTGCACATACACACATATGCTCACCTATGTGGAGACCAGGGTGTTGTCCCCTTATTTCTTCTAGAATTCACCAGTTAATCTAGGCTGGCTGGCCAGGGAGTCTCAGGTATCCACCTGTTTCTCCCTTCCCAGTGCTGGGCTCACAGGCTGGCACACACCACACCCAGCTCCCTCTTTACGTGGATTCTGAACTGAACTCACGTCTCCACGCTTGTGTGGCGAGCACTTTACCTCCAGGCTATCTCCTCAGCCCTCCTGTGCTAGGGTCAGCTCACGCCGTCCAAACTCCCGTTGGAGCCAAGGATGACTTTGAACTCCCGCCTCCGCGTCCCAAGCGCTGGGGTTACAGGCCTGTGCCCCCCAGGCCCAAAAGCAGGTGCATTCTTCATTCTTTATATTTATTTGTTTGTTTATGGAGGCACCCAGCCCTTGTGGGCAATCACAGACAAGGGCTCCCCTGCTCCTCTCTTAATCAGGCCTCACTTCCCAGAACCTGTTAGGCATCCATGTTGTTCACCCTGCTTCTCTGGTTCCCAGAGCTCTACTGGGGGTGGGGTTGGGGGGTTGGGGATGGAGGAAGGTCCCCACTGGGCAGGGTGGAGCTCCGGCCCTCTAAGGAGTGCAGTCTAGCTAGCAAGGGCGCTGGGTTTTTGCAGCTACTGTGGGAGGGGGCGGAATTGAAGGACGGAGGTTTAAAGAGTAGGCTGACAACTGGTGTGTGCGAGTGTGCGCGCGCGCGCGCGCGCGCGCGTGCGCGCGTGTGCCTGTGCCTGTGTATATGTGTGTGTGTGTGTGTGTGCATATGTGTGTGTGTGTGTGTGTGTGTGTGTGTGTGTGTGTGTGTGTGTGT